CCTCCACCCAGACCACTTATCAGTGATGTAAGTCAACCGCACCGCTTGATGGACAGCGTGTACCTCCTGTCGGTGCTCATCAGCAGCGTCTGACAGGACCATTTGTCGCCCCAGGCAACCCTTACCATGGAGACCGGCTTGTACGAGCAGCGATTGGCTGGTTTTCAGCAAGTTTTATAGAATCATCACGTCACCGCCTCCCGGAGGAGAGTAAGCGCTGCTGTGTGGCAGCATCACACCAGCGCTTCACTTCCAATGAAAACATTGTTCTTTAAGTGATAATTGACTTTTTTTTTTCTCGTTACTAATCCAGCACCTTGAGAGGTGCAACGCCGTCGGAGAAAACTAGTATTACATGGACGCTGAAGTACATGTGCAGTAAACGTGCTCATCACGCTGCAGATTATTTCTCGTCCAATGAAAGCGGCGTTATGTAGACTGTAATTTAGCGGCGTGTGCAGCTGCCTGCTTGTTTTTTGGATCCCCTGTGATTAAGCTACTTATCTTGTAGAACAAGTGCTAATGCAAAGTCTTCTGTTTTGTTTTTTTCCCCCATCAGAGCAGTCTGTGCCATTTTATCCTAAACAGCAGGATTTTGTTAAACAGTTAAACAAGCAGCGCTAAACACAACACAGTGCATGTAACTGGTGTGACTATACGCTCCCAGTACAGCGGCCGCGTATCGGTAACATGAGGAGCTAGTTACTATGGAAACTGTCCATATGCTGGGCCTATGCTGGTGATGGTAGGCTGATTGATAGGTGCTGTTGGACCCAAAAGAGGGTGCATCCGTCTCCGTTTGTTCGTACCACGTGCGCTGTGTGATCTTAAGGTTCCTTGTTTACGGGAGCAGAGTTCATTGGGTCACAAGGTGCAAGGCGCTGAACGTGATACGAGTTTCTAATCTCATAAGCTGGTGTGTTAAAACGCGGACTTGCATTTGCAGACAGAGGTTAATAAGATGTTGAAGGGATGTGATGTGATTGTCCTGCCAAGTATTTCTGGAGCCGCTGTGGAGGATTATCAGCCGTACAGTCTCGCTGCACATTGTCTCTGTTCAGAGTTCATTCAGCTCGTGGTTCTGATTTGGGCGTGTTCATGTGGCTACAGATGAATCCACACTCCGCTACGTGTCCCCAAGGCGCTCTTACAAAGACTTTTCATTAAGCCCGTGACAGTCACAAAGATCCAGATCTGTGCTGCGTTCCTGTACACGGCCGGGTTTCATCATTTCCCTTCAGTGCTGTTTCAAAAGTTCAACGTTTCTTGCAAATAACCCAACAAAGGGAAGCATGGAAACGGATTTGCTATTAGAAAGTTCATCCTCTTTAAATCTAACAGACGAGTTAAACGCGGCGATCTGCTGTTAATTAGAATCTGGGTCCATGTTTATCTGATTCTTGTTCAGACGCGCTCCTGTTTGCTTTCAGCTGTTAGCTCCTCACTCAGTGGTCCTGCAGCTCCGGGGCGCCGGTTCAAGCCTGGAGGAACGCCTGAGGTGTGTTGACGGGTCGGTCTGCTCTGCTTCCTGAACGCTCTTCAGACCAGACGACACGTACTCGCTTCATGGTGGTTTGGTGGGGGGTCACGGTTTGCTCATAGAAACGACTCGATCGGTCACAGAAGAGGCGTGTTTGGATTCGTGTGCGGAAAGAAATGTGAGACGTGTGTTTTAAACAACGCCTTCCCCTTCCTCAAATTATGGGCTGGATCAATATCATCACTGATATTGAAGTTTTGAAGCTAGCTTCAGTGACACATGGGAGCCGCACGGCGCTAGAAGAGCAGCCGACAGCCGACTGAACACACGCGGAGTCGCACATTCGTCGCTTTGATACCGTAATTTATTGATCCAGGAGCTTCGCGGCCCGGTTTCTGTCGGTACTGTGAACACGTTGGCTCTGTCAGTGAACTACAGCATCAGAGTGTTTCCCTTGCGAGGCAGCTGGACTCTTCTGGGACTCGCATGATCGTGAGGGAATTCATTTAGCGGCGCTTGTGGCCAATCCACAGTCGGTCCGACCAATCGGCGTCCCGGGAGAATCCACCAGCAGCTACAGGCGTGCGTTAGCCCGTGATAGACGGCGATAGACAGGCGGATGCCCTTCGTCAAACCTCTTCCAAGGACGAGCTCTCAGATGGTGAAACAAACCATCTGGTGCGTCGGGTTATACGAGTGTCAGACATTATTGTATTTTTAATATCTGTCACTATGAAGCCGACCCTCCAGAAGTGTTCTCACAACACCAGGATCACAGCTGCTTTAACATGTCGATCCTGAAACGATACCGCAGCGAAAACATCAGGAAAAGAAATTCAAATATTGCAGCGCTTGGAATTTTTTTTTTAGCATTAATTAAGAAGACTGTCAGTGAATAGAAGGCATCAAACAGGAGGAGCTGCTGCACCACAGTGAGCGTTTTCATAACTACGTTCAGCTCTTCCACCTCCACACACCAAACTCCTGCTTATTAAAGATTGTTTCCTCACAGAGACAAATGCAGCGGCAGCAGCACTTTGTCTCTCACTGGAATGCTCTCTGCAGGAATGCTGTTGATCATTTATAACTTCTCTTGTTGATCTGCGGACTTCATTGAACTCCAGCGTTGGAAAAAAAAATGTAAACGTATATTGATTTATCTTCAAATGCACCATTTGTTTTCTGTCACGTTCGCTCTTTGAATCCTTTGAACTAATCAGCCGGTCTGTCGGCAGGATGCTTTGCTAAGACTGGACATTACGTACCAAAGACGTCTTTGTGTCTTAAGCAAAATAACGTAGAAATAACTGAACCATCTGGAGGCAGGCGTGGTTGTATTTGCTGCCGTGCTTTTTGCTTTGTCGCCGTGCAGGCTGCAGTGTGCTAATGAGGAAAACTTTGGGAAGCAGAGCTCTGGTCCGCTGTTGCACATCAAGGTCACAATACAGCTCCTATTAGAACCCGTCCATTCTTTGAGTGTCAATAAAATGAGGAGCAGAACCATCTTGAGCAGCAGGGCATGGAGTCGGTATGAGGGACGCACATTTGAAGCGATTTTCTGCACAAAAACTCAAAAGCATTATCAATAAAAAAGAAAACAACCACAGTAATGAGGCATTTGCTGCTACGTTGGCCACCTGGCTGCTGCCAAAACCCCGTCCTAGTAGGGTCTTGACTACCGTAATTTTCAGACTATGGGTGCACCTGAATATAAGCCACACCCACTAAGTTTAAAAAGAAGGCTGCAGGTGTCCACGTTGTTTCATGAGATATTTACACAGAAAGATTTTCTTTAACTTTTAATTAAATGCGTACCGGTAACTGATGGCTATCTTCATCTTCCTCCTGCACTAAAACCACTAAAGTCGTCTTCTTCAGTGTCTTCAGGAGCTGAACAGCCTCAGAATCACTTCATCACTTCCTCAGTCTCTCTGTCGTTGTCGCTCTCAGTGTCATTTTAGTCTCGAGGCAAATTCGTAAAAATCCATAAATTAGTCACTTTGTTGTTGAAGCCGCAGCTTTAAAGTGTGTGTGAAAAAAGTAGGGGCTTATACTCTGGAAATTACGGTACCTACCACAGTCATGGTGGCCTGTTGCAAATATAAACTGTATAAAAGGTGGACGTAGCAACCGGCCCTGAAAAATGAAGCCAACCCGGAAGTGTCAAAAACCTGCAGTATCATGGTCTATCTGGAATTGGAAAAGAAGTGATCACAGATCATGAAGTACCGCATTCCTCCAGCTCAGGATTTTTTTCTTATTAGTTTTCATGGTCAACTCCAGAGATCAGGTGGCCAATCTGAAAATAAATCAATACTGAATTTTTAAAAAGTCGTCAACATTTTGCGGGTCAAGGGGCGTGGCTGGCTTGATTGACAGTCGGCAGCGACGATGCAGATGAAGCGAGCAGAAGGCGGTAAATGTGGGCGGGCAGAGAGGGCCCGCCTCTCAATACGTCTGACCAATTGCTGCTCCTATGGCTCCGTCCCCCTCCCACGATTTTTGCGTCACTGGCTCCAAAAATTCAAGATGTCAACCAGGAAGTGGCTTCATGTTCTCAGTGCAGAAACCAACGGGTGACGTCACGGTAGCTACGTCCATCTTTTATACAGTCTATGGGAAAAAGTAGCTGCTTATATTCTGGATATTACGGTACCTACCACCGAAGTCTCTGTCATGGTGGCCTCTTGCAAACTAAACCCCCAGAATTGCCCATATTAAACATATATTATAGTGCATATCTTCTGCCTTATTGCTTCATGTATTTGAATCCCTTTAATTGGCACACAGCGCCCTGCAGGTCAGGCCCAGTTAACAGAAAGTCTGAGAAACTTTTCCCTTCATGCTGTCATCTCGGGCGTGCGTTATTATGTTGGTATGCGAGTGTGAAAGCCTCTCCTCGTGTCCTTCACACAGTGTGCGAGTGGACTGGGAGCAGCAGGAATCCTGCTCCGGCAGATGGTGCTTCCAGGTGGAGCAGCTTGACATCCGTAAAGGGGCAACAGTTAAGAGTCCGTCTGTCTGACATACACAGACGTCGCTCGCCTTTCAGAATCGGTGGGAGGCGACGCTGGCACGTTCTGCCGGCTGAGTGATGACATGTGTACATATTGTAAATATTTTAATATCGTTAGCCGCGGCGTCTCGTTCCGCCCTCGTGTGTGTGTGCGTGAAGTAGCCGAGAATTAAATCCACTGCCTCTGTAGAGCTGCTTATGATGAAACTGATGTGAAAACCTATCAGTAGGTTCACCCCCTCAGGCTCACCATCGTCATTAAGGCTTCATGTGCAGGCTGCGTTTTAGCATCTATCAGCGATGCAGCCTGAGATGGAGCTAGCTAATCCGTCTCTCTCTCAGTGGGTGTTGCTCGCTCTGTAGATGTGCTGCGATTGCTGAGCGAAACAGCATCTCAGTAAGTGTAAATAAATGAAATGTGCACTCTGTGGCTGTTGAATAAGATGGAGGGGCCCAGCCTGGACTCGTTTGGACCCTAACCCTCTCCTCTCTGATCCCTCACAGCGGAGCCCCTCCCCCTCATGGACCTGTGCAGACGAGTAGCTCGGCTGGCGCTGGGTCGAGAGCGCATCCATCACATCGACACACTGCCGCTGCCGCAGACTCTCAAGAACTACCTCCAGTACCAGTGACCACACACAGAGAAACAGAGGCCCGTTTGTTCTGACGACTACCAGCCTCCCGACTTCACCCCGACCGTCAGACGTCCGCTGAGGATGCGGGCGATGACACGGACCGGGTGGTTCCGATGGCGCTGCAAAGGGTTTTGTTTACACCAGTTGGGGATGTTTTTTTTTCCATTTTGGATGTTTTTATTTCCTTGTTTTTTGTTTTTTAGCTTCTTTCCTTTTGTTCTTGTTGCTGACTTGTGGACAGACGACCAGAGGAGCTGATCAACGAGACCGAGGGGTTTCCAAAAGCGCCTTTCGATCCGGTTTCCTGCTAATCGCGTAGACGGAGTCAGAGCACATGTCCTGAGTTAGAGAGGCCTTAAATGCTGTGGGGTTTGTCTTTTTGTTTTGGGCAACAGTTTACCCAGACATCTGTTCGGCACAGACTCTGTGGAAGCCTCCTCGGAAACATGTTGGTATTTATATTTATATTCCCAACAGCACAGCGGGCTCTGTGGAGACACAACAATCCCTGCAGGCCACAGGAGAGCGAGAGAGAGAGAAAGAGGGAGATCTATATTTGCTGCACACATGGATGGCATGTATACAGTTCAGCCTGTGTTATGAGTGAGGAGAAACAAAGTCAGTCTGCAGCTCGACGACAGCTCACCGAGAAGCAGGCGGTTAGCTCACACTGACTGGTTTTAAATCTCTCTTTCTCTCTCCGTCACTCGCTCCAGTTTGATGCGAGCCTCCGTCAGGCGTAGTGAACTGGAAGGGCCGCGGCCGCCGCTCACCGGCTCTCCGGCTCCTGTAACGCTGATGGAGATTGATCCGGAGGTGAAGCCGTGTCTTCGACTGCTAATGTGCCCGCTCTGCTACAGCGCACACAGGAAGAGGAACAGAAAAAAGAAAAGCACACAACTGATCTGTCATATCAGAAGACACTTCTTTCCTCCCCCAAAGTTTTAAATGCTGCTTTTCTGTCTTTTTCTTCCACCGTCGGGTTTTTATCCCTGATTTACTTTTAAAAGCGATGGTCTTATGATGAGATTTTCTTTAATGTCTTCTCTCTTTTTTTTTTTTTAATGGATTTTGAGATTTGTCTGCGGGACAGGATGTCTCGCATGTATAGGTGGAAGAATGTGCTGCCATGAAAATCTTTTAAATGTGAATAAGAATAAACTCAGATAAACTGACGCTTCCTCGCCGTCTGCTCTTTGAGTGTCGAGTTCACAACGGTTGTTTTAACTCAGACTTGTGCTGACTTCAAGTCCCCGCACATTCAAACCTCCGAAAGCTCATCTCTGTGCATCAAAGCTGCTTATTTAGAAGGTTTCTCCAGGAAAATAATCCCTTCCTGCTTTTAAATTGGCTTCGATGGAGCCGCACTCTGCTTCCTTCTCCGCCCACGACTCCCGGCTCACTGCAGCTCGAGCACACCGGCTCACCTGTGACTCTGCTCAAACACTTTAAAACTGCTCTGTGCTAAACAACAGACCAACTCGGTTCATTTTAAGTTAATTTTGAAGAAGAATAATGATGCATATTTTGACTGGAGGCGTCTTTAACACACACTTCATGCCCAGTAAACCTTTCCCCCGTGCCTTACGATGGACCTTTGATCAGTCGTCTGTTGTTTACAGAAATGATGGAAGCACTCGAGCCAAACATGCATTAGGTGGCATTACGTTGGTAAACCGATCAGTTAAGTTCAGACACATGATGAGGACTAACTAGTTTCAGCAGCAGTGCTCAGTAATGTCTGCAGCATCCTTAAGCATGGGCTGATAAAATCCTTCAAAGGAAGTTTTGGCAGTGGCTCAAAATAATTCAGAATTCACTACTTTGTTTGAACATGTCACATAAAAATACAGAAGGAAGATTAACATCGATGTGGTTTAAGTTCCCAGTGAGCACGTTTAAGAAGCTGTATTTGATGTGTGCACCTGTCAGAGGGGCTTAATGATGAGTCGCCATGATGATGTTAATTTAGCTACTTGATGGTCTCTGCAAGCAGGTGGAAAAGTAAAACATGCATGGAATCTTATCAGCCAGGATGAGTTGGAAAATAGTCACAGTCCATCAGTTAGATCATCAGCTTGTGAAGACGCTGCATCTGGCCTGGATGTGTAGCTTCAGCCTCATAGCATCAGATCAAGTATGTGGCCATTTATTTATTATTAGGGTCTGAGGACCCCTACTTGTTATTATTATTATTATTATGTAGCTTCAGCCTCATAGCATCAGATCAAGTATGTGGCCATTTGTTTATTAATTATTATTATTATTATTTACTTTTTATTTATACATTTTTTATTGTTTTTTTCTAATAATTTTTGCTTAAATTTTTTAAAATTATTTTTTAAAATTTTTATTAATGTCGCTTCAAAGGCAGAAGAATGTGCGCAGTAGGAATGTCGTTTTCTGTGCATATTTCCTTTGCTTTTAAAGTGACATAAAATTTAAATGAAAATAAATTTAAAAATAAAAATGAAAAAAAAATATTTTAATTATTTTAAAAATACAATAAAACTTTTCAAAATTAAAAATAAAATAAATAACTACAAAATAAAAAGAATAAAAAATACATTTTATTTATTAGTCTTTATATTTCTACTTTCATTAGCATTTTCTTTTATGGATTAATTTTTTTATTAACATTGCCACATTATTTTTTATTTCATATATTCTTTTAATTCCACTTTTATTCTTTTTATTGATTTATTTACTATCAATTATGATTATTGATGAAGTGCGTGAGTGAGCTCGTATAGCTTGACGGACATCATTTAGATGTGCGGCCAATCAAATGGTCACTTTTCTTTTCTGTTAATCTAAACACAGAGAACAGATATTAACAGTACAACAAATGACACCACATGAAGCTCTGGAACAAGTGTAGTTACTACAAAGGTCTGTGCTGCTGTCAAAGGCCCAGATGCCGGTTTTGGTGTCGAGTCGAGATGAGCTGGCTCTAAACAGGATTCCCCATCCCAGGACGGGCTTTGAACAGCAGAACAAAGCCGGTTGTGTGATCAAAGTTCAGCTCCGCGTGGCTTTTCCTGGCACTGGCAGCAGAAAATCCATTAATGTCGTACAGCAGAGAGCCGTCTGTGTTGATAACATCGTAATCGCGCTGAGAGGCAGCGCTCCCTCTGCTTTTAGTCTGAGAGGGGGATGACCAGCACAAACGCAAGACGGCTGACGGATGTGGACGTTTAATGCTTTAATAATGATGACTAAAGTGTGTCAGGTTAGCCTTTAACAGCGATAACCGGCTGAGCAAAGTGCACGAGGACATGTTTATTAGCATCAAAACACAGAGATAAAGATGCTGGACTGCATGTCGGTGCAGAGATCAGCTACAAGCTCCCGTCTGCAATTGATTCCCAACTGTAGCATGTGTCCGCTTCAGCGTACAGTGCTGTTCAATAATGCAGGGTCAGACCCTCTCAAGGATTATCGAGCAGGCCTCAGAGTTAAAGCTGATGACTTGTTTGATCTGGTTAGAAGTGACTTGGCTTTGCTAGATCCATATTTAGCTGCTTCCTGACAGTGAGGCTTCACTTCAATTCATCTCGCTGTCTTTTCCTCTGCCTCCGCCACGTTCTGCCGTCTCCTCTTCTGTCTCACTGCGCCGCTCAGGCTATTTAAATCCTCCCATCGCCGCTTTCTTTGCTCAAAAGCACAGTTTCCATCACAGGGCTTTATCTTCTGCCCCACCTGCTTTGACTGAAGGTAAGTAAAATGACTCGCAGCCATGAGAAGCATTTGTGATAAAGTGCTCCAGCGTGCCTTCCTCGTCCTTCTGCTTTGGCTGCGAGCTGCATACGTCCAGGCCTACATGTTATACATATGCATATATGGAGAGTGACAGAGTGAGCCGAGGAGGAGATGGATGGTTGGAGGCCGCTCGTCTGCTGCTGCTGAGACGGGCAGAGATCCATAATTTATGGAGGCAAAATCCTGTGTCTTCTTTGCTCGGTAAGTCATGTAAAAGCTAACATTTCTTATTTCTGCCCCTTTTTTCTCTCCGCTAGACCACATATGGAGATATCTTCAGAGGACATAATTCCTCAAAGTAGAAATGAAGTTTCTTTGACCTACTTGAGGATTTGTACGGCCACAGATGAGAAGGATCGGACTGTAGCACATTTATGTCCAATCAATGTTCAGCGCCGACATCAAAGATGCGTTATCCGTCCCAGTTTTCTCCGGTTCTGGTTTGTAGTTTGCGACTGAAAGTTAAGAACACGGAGGTCGGACTGTTCCAGGATCGGTAGGTAGGATTTCACGATGATGTCTCAGGAAGATGGACAGCCATCCAACCTCTCCTCCCCCACAAATCCATCCTGGAGACACAGAATTAATGAAGTGAAAGCAACACGTAGGCCGCAGCTCTGTTCACAGCCTCAGCCGTTTGAAAGACTCTGTAATAAGACATACAGGCTGCACAACAGCAGCTCGTTTGTGTTCTCAGTTCGTCAGTAGCTTCAGTTGATAACATTTCTGTTTTCCAAAGCTGACACATTTGAGCCGCTCTCGTGTCCAGCTCGCAGGATAATAGATCGTTTGTTCAGCTTCACAATCACAGAAAAAAATAAAATAATATTCACATCTGAGAAGCAGGAAACAGTGACTTTAGTTTGTTTGTGCTTAAAAAAAATCAATAGAAAGATGAGTAGATGTTCAGTATTGCTGCTGAGATGCAGGTTAGTTCATTATTTGTTATTTTCAGCTCTAGTGGCATCTCAGACCAAAACAAATGGCCGACGCCCTCCAGTCACCTTCATTGACAACCTGAACCCTGAATCAGCAAAACAAATACTCCACGGTGTAAAATATGTTGAATGGCCAAAAGGAATTCTTGTCAACTTGAGTTAATGTTGTCTTGACTTCTGTGTCTGTTTCCAGGTTTTTGTCGAGCTGGAGCAGAACCGTGTGCAAAAACAGAAACACACAGAATGGATCAGAACAGTAACGAGCAGAGGAGACGGAACAACAGAAGAGACTCCCGATGAAGTCAACTTCCTGTGCTCGTTGCAACGTGTATAAAGTCCAAACATGACAACAGAGTGTGATGAGACGGACCCCATCTTTCATCTCTCTTTTCAGGTCCATCAATGACTGTCGCTGCACTTCACAGATTTATTTAACTCTGAAACACGTTTTAAAGGCTGACGCTGATATTTTTATACACTATTTTTGTACGAGGTGTGTCAGAAAAGTTCCAGGACTGGTGTCACAAACAATATATTTCAAACCCAAACTACAAACTAGGAGTTTTCTCCTTCAGACGGTCAACCAGCTCGTCTACAAAGAGATCCGTTTGCTTCGTTCAGAAGAGGCAGAGTTGTGTCAGGACCAGTGGAGGCTGCGTCACCATGACAACCTGCTCACAACACCCTGAGCATCCCACAGCTCCTGCTGAGAAGAACATCTCCGTGCTGGAGCTACCTCCCTACTCACCCCACCTGACTCCGTGTGATCCTCTTCCCCAAGCTCAAGGGGGTCATCAAGGAGACCCATTTTGAAGACGTGGACGACATCAAGATGGCTGTGACGACGAAGCTGAGGAGGAGAATCCTTCCAGGAGTGCATGGCGGCGTGAAGAGAAGGCTGAGGGAGGGTGTTAGACTCCAGGAGGATTACTATGAAGGGGAAAGCTAGTTTGGGTTTGAAGTTTATCTTTTGTGACACCAGTCCTGGAACTTCTCTGACACACCTCGTACACGGTGCCAGTGTTTTCTACACAGGAGAACCCAGCTAATGGTGGTAAAGTTATTAAATTATGTTCTAAATGTGTTTGTTTTTAATATTCTGGATTCCCTGGAGTTATCACTGTGTGCTCTAACAACAGCTTTGCTCGTTCTTCACTCTACCTGCCAGCTTCATTGCCATCATCTGGCACTTTTCCAACAGTCCTGAAGGATTTCCCACCTATGCTGAGCACTTATTGACTGCTCCTCCATCCCTCTCCGGTCCAACTCATCCCTGAGGTGTAGGCTGGTGATTATGGTGGGAACCACACATGCATCACAAAAAGAGGCTGCAGCAGGAAGAAGAAATGCTCTGATTCGCAGATTTGAGCTTGTCTAGTGTTCATTCCTTTTGTTTCTTGGCAGAAGCAGCTCTGTTCTTCTTCTTGGTCGTGATTTCTTTGCATCAGTTGAACCACGATTCACACAGTTGATGT